AAAAAAAATTACCCTTGAAAAATTGAAATGGGCTGGAGGGCTGGGTTGAAGCCCCCCCCCCCCCCCCCCCCTCGACGAACCCACACGAAAACCAAGAAAAAAAACCTTCACCGGCGGAAGGGCGGACAACTCCACTGGAGGAAGAGAGAGAAGCCTCACGCTGGGGAGGACTTTAGCATTACTCTAGCTTTAAAGAAATGACTTCATAATTTGAAGTATTGACATTGAAAATTAATTTAAACTCATGAGATTAATTGAAAACCTTAGTTAAGTCTTGAAAATTGATTAATTGCTGATTGTTCTAAGGCGGTCTGAATTGGATCACCTTTGGTCAATATGGGCCGTGCTATGCTGGGTCTATAGGCTTCCTCTATTTTTGGGAAAATTGCAGCCGAGATATCAAACATTTCAGTTATTTGCGAACATTGCCCAAACCTTTAATTTGTACCATCCACGGTACCAAACCTTTAAAAAATTTGCACCTTCAGTCATTATTGTCGGTTTCCGTCTGTTTGACCACAAAAATCGATAGTTGAATAAAAAATTAGGAGTGGTAAAAATTGTAAGTTGACAATTTTCTCATTAAATAAATTTTAAAAAAAATAAAAAAATAAAAACTTGAAATCAGTTTCTCCTTTCCGGCATCAACAGTGACCGACACGTTGCCAGCACCACCACCACCACCGGCACACTGTCGACACCACCACCGCTGCCGCCTCCTCTCACCACTATCGTAAATCACAAATGAAGAAAATCACGTTCGACACCCAAAAATGGAACCTAAATCAAGACCACCACCAAGACGTCACCACGTCCGCCCCCCCCATCACCCACCAGATCCCCATCATCCTATCCCAAACTAGAAAACCATCTACCACCACCACCACCACCGATCTCCTTAACATCACCATCACCAATGCCAGTAACCATCCATTTTCAAACTTCGAACTCAATTCAAAAAATTCTAAAAAAAATCAGAAGATAATGGAAAATTGAATCCCATTGGAGCCAGGCGAACCTCAAGTAAACTTGTACGAGTGTGGGTAACCATTTAATTACTCCAATCAAGGTTATGGTTGATTTAATTGCTCCAATTGAGGTTGGGGCAGTTCGACGGGTCTTTGTGGCTGCAATTTATAATGCTTGGGTTCTGAGAAATTCTGCCAATAATGGTGGCGGTGGTGCCGAACTTTGAGGCGACGATGCTGAGGATAGCAGTGGTTGCCTGCGGTGGGTGGGAATGGGGATGAGTGGAGTGGAGTTGGAGGAAGAATGATTTTTGTATATTTATTTATTTTTTTAAAATTTTTTTAATGAGAAAATTGTCAAGTTACTATTTTACCCCTACTAATTTTTGATTTCTAGGGTCAACTAACGATTTCCGTGGTCAAACGGACAAAAATCGTCAATGAGGATTGGAGGTGCGATTTTTTTAAAGGTTTAATACCGTGGGTGGTACAAATTAAAGGTTTTGGCAAAGTCCCCAAATAACTGATATGTTTGGTACCTCGGCTGCAATTTTCCCTTTTTTCGCTTTAGTTTTTTATTTTTAATCCAAGACGGGACTGAGCTTTTATCAACTTAGCCTAAAAGATATTCGACACATTTTGTAATTCTATGTATTTTTGTTGGTTTTTTTTCATCTTGACATCTCTATGCCCATGTTTTTTGTACGTGCAAAATATTTTATTGTATAAACGTGTGATTGAAAATGAGCACATAGAAAAATTTGATTGTCAAACATGGGCTATATCATATTTAGTGTGAAACACTTTTTATTTCCTCATTGCGTAAGATATCCAACTATAACGCATTATATATTCACACATTTGGTAAAACTCATAACTTACAATTTAAACACCAACCAGACATGCACCAACTTGAATAATATTTTGGAAAGTAAAAAAATATTTTAAAATGTAGTACTAATTATGATTTTTTTAAAAATATATATATATATATATATAATGTATGATTGTTAAATAAACGAGATTCAAAAATAGTACTATTATATCTCTCTTGGAGCCATCATTTTTAAAATCGCGTCCTTGCTCCATCCCAAACCCCTCCCAAGCACAAACTAGTACCATTGTACTTTGGAAAGAGGCTAGGTGTACTGAAGGTGGGTGACACACCTTGACTGGCCCCTCACGCACATTTTTTTTTTCAATTTTTTATTCATGTGGGGTCAGCCATCATGTGAGAGTTTGTCAACTTTTTTGTCAAATTTTTTTTTTGTACAAGTAGGTTTTTTCTTTACTTTGAATGCCCGGAGTAATTGTATTCACAATTTTGATCAATACAAATTTATTTACCTGATTAAAAAAACCCTGTTCTGGTCGAGCATGTTAACCCATTTAGGGATATAATCATCTTGTGGTGAAGTTGGGGATAAGGTATCCCAAGAAAAGGATCTGTTATTTATGAACCAAACAAACATACCCATTTAGAGCTGTAAGCAAAAACTGCCAAATCGGAAAATCGAATCGAAACCGCAATTTCGAAACCGGCGTTTTGGTGCCACGTGGACCCGTCAACGAAATGGTTTTGAACCAAACCAAATCGGTCAAAAACGGTTTGGTTTATATTTGAGAATTTTAATTATGGTTTGAAACCAAACCAGATCGGCGAAAATTATATAAAATAAAAAAATAAAAATTGATTTTTTTAAAAAAAATTTATCCAAATTTTCAATTTTGTAAA